GGCCCGCTGAAATTGTATGTCTAAACCCTAAATCTTAAATGACTCCAGTGGAAATAAGCTGGAAATGTATTTCTAGTAGTTGTAATTAGAGATTCAGAGTTGCTATATACACAAGAAAAACGTACACTATTGGGAGCATTTACAAAAGTAGGAGTTCTTTGTCTTCATTTTGTGATTACAAAATTATAATTATCAGAATGAAAAATTCAGCATGTGTATCTGAGTTACTAATCTATTTTGCTGTCTAGAAATTTTGAGGAGGCACTAAGTTTCTTCTTATTAAAGTTGCTTTTTTTGATTTTATTGAATTGGTTGAACTGTTTGCTCCTTTTTTGTGTTTCATTTATTCAGGTTGCATAAACTTATGTGGTTGAATGTTCATCAAATAAAAAAGTGCAGCCCCATCAGTTTTTGATTATCTGGGAAGCTCTTCTTCTATTTGGTTGATTTTGATTCTTTTGAATATAATTGCTCTATAGAAAATTTTGGATGGTGACCGATCCAAGTGGCTTCTGAGTTTTCAAAACAACTTTGAGATGCAAAGTTTTAGACAATTTCAGACATGGATTCTTTGTGAGAACTTGTTTATTTGCTGGAACTTGCTCCAGCCTCCAGTTACCCTCATTTTCACAATCGATCGTGTTGGGTTTGGGTTGGGACAAAAACCGACTCAACTCGACCCACGCCCACCCCTAGTTAAAGATCACATAAAGTATAGTGGTATATTTCTATCCCCTATCGGACTCTACGACAATTGACAATATGTCTAACTTATTTTCCATCTCTCGAGTGTAAAACGAGCCACAATATTCATACAATAATTGATCAAGTAATTGTAGGGAAAATTGAATCCATTCAATCATTCAATAATTAAAAACATGCCTTGAATGTCAAAAATAAAATCACGAGTCAAAAATTCATAATACAAGTTTCATCGTAATCCTAGCACAAAATAAAGCATAATATTGAAATTAAACAAGTAAAAGTGGAACGACATCACCGAAAATTGACGAAACGTAATTAATTTTGGCTAAAATTCCCACTGCCGCGGCCACTTCTTCTTTTTATTTATTTTTTGCGTCTTCTGTGTCTCGCTGCTTCCGTTCCTGTATTGTATTTAATTCAGCCCCAAAAACCTCTTTTCGTTTTTGTCTGCGTGTGTATTAATAATCCCCATGAGCTGCCAATTAGTTGTAGTCTAATTAGGAGTCCAAGTGCTAATTGAAGTCCAAGTCCAATTGCAAGTCCAGGCCATTAACTTTGTGTTTCTCCAATTCACCCCATCTTTAGAATTAATGCAATTTAGTCCTTCAATCACTATAGTGTAGACTTTAATCCCCAAAATTGTAGCTTTCATTCAATTTCAGCATTCTTTCTTTTCCAATTGCTTCGAACAAGTCCAAAACTAAAACAAAAGAAAATTAAACCAAGTTAAGTAAAAATTAATAATTTGACAACATGAAATCCAAGTAATATGACTCAAATAACTGCACAAAATGTACTTATCAAATACCCCCAAAATTGAGCTATAGTTTGTCCTCAAATAAAATTGTAATTTAACTCCACATAAAATATGGTTTGACAAACTGTCGTGTCTCAGGATTGGAACTTAATAATTAACAAAATGAACATTTTCAATTGTGCAAAATTAAATTAATCTCCACTTGTCATATGCATAACTCGATGTGTGTGTTTGTGAAAACTCATGTTAACATATCAAGCTCATGATTGGCTCAACATTCTGACATATAGTAGTCAAATATTTCCTTACTCGCTAGAGAGATATACCCCCCCTCAAATTTATGCTTTTCACTCATTTTCTCGGGGTGCACCCTAAGTTGAACTTATTCAATTCTATTTCTTACTCTCTTTTAGTTTGAATAGATCTTACTATTGTAAGTTCACACTTCAACAAGTCAAGATTCTCCTATATTTTTTTATTGCTTCAACTTTTAAGACTAAACTAGGTTACTTGTCTCGCATAAGAGGTATAGTTCTATCAACCGAATATCTTGAGGCTAAATCAATGTACATATATAATAATTTTTTTATTCATGTTTTTTTTTTCCAAACATCTTTTCATTTGCTTTCTATATAACATATGTAGCGAGTTTTAGGCCGATGACTCCCAAGTCAGATGACCATAGGATACCAGGTTTTAAACTACCCGTACAAGTGCAATTAGCTGAGTTATACAGGCTCGGAAAAATGTTTTTATTCACTCAAAGATTAGTGCAATCACCCATTTTCTTTTAGACATCCAGTTTCTAAAACTAACATCTAACTTAAATCTTCACCTTGTCTTTGTCTTATTGATTTTAGACAATCTACACAAAATAATTTAACGCACGGAATCTCTACCCATCTCAATGTTCTTCTGTAATAGCTCAACCATCTCCAAACTAATCTATAGTTGATTTATGGATTAATACTATAGAGGTTATTCGGGTTTACTTATTATGTTCAACTATTCTCTACGTAATGAACCAAATCACCAACTTAATATATCAAACATGAGCATTGTGCATAAAAATGTCAAATTTCACATAAACAAGCTTTGACTAATCTAATAGTGCACAATTTCCATTATTCACAGTTCATACATATTCCAATATTCAACATCATAGTCGGTAAAGTTATCAAACCCATACAAACACACAAAATTATAATCAAATGCTAGAAAACATATAAATACTGAAATTAAAACAATTGAATAAAAATTGATTTTTTTTTGTCTACGCCTAAAAACTGCAGTGAAATGATTAATGACATGGAAATTTTACCCTACCCCCAAACTTATGTAAAACATTGTCCTTAATATTTAAAGAAGAACATAATGCAAAATTAAAGACAAATGCACATAAAGATACAGAAAATGAGGCTCGAAATACTCCCCTAATTAGTACGGAGGTGGTGGAGGGAAGCTAGAACCAGATACGCTATCTGCTGAAGCTGGAGATAATGAAAAAAAAGTAGTGTAGATCATGCATAGACTTTTTGTAACTTGTAAACGCGATGAATGAATCAATATTATTAAAAATTATCAAAAACATGAAAAATTCATAATCTAATGCATAAAGCAAATAAATAAAATGGAAGAAACGTTGGGTTGCCCCCCAACCAGCAATAGTTTATAGTCTATAACTCGACTGTGCAATTACTTGGTTTATTGATACAACTTAC